GTGGGCTGGATTGAGCGGGTTAATAACTTAGAAGTAAGTCGTTGAGTGTTTGGGAATATCTCAAACAAGAACTCGCTAGCGCATCGAATCCAGCCTAATAGGCTTTGTTGGTTAGGGCACGTTTTGCGTATGTCCGACGGTCGCCTACCGCAGCGCGCCTTATTCGCAGTGGCTGTTGCATGCAGGAGGAAGCCACGTGGAGGCCAGCAGATGACGTGGAGACGAGGTATGAATAAACGCACAGAGCGATTAGGTAGAGTAGGTGCTTCTCATCTTCCGTGTTGGGGTTCAAAAGACGCCAAAACCGCATGGAGACACTGAAGATCATGGCCGCGAACTAACAGCAATGGCGATTATGCTGTCACTTATCAGACCAGAATGCTTGAAATGGTATGTATGCACAGCTGGACTGTTTACTCTGTTTGTTGACCATAGAGGTTCACTTTCTTTTCCCGTCCGTAAGAATAGGTCCAATCCCTATCCTCCTTACACATTATCACTTACCTTGTATGAGTTTGGCAGCCATCAGTGAAGTTCGCTTCACTGTATTACGCTGTACAACGTTGATGATTATTTGTTTCTAGGTCGTAATTTCCGTCAAGGTTACCCTATTTCGCCATTCCTGTTCAATTTCGTCGTAGACGAAGTACTGGAGAACGCGCTTACTGGTCTCCAGAACGCAGGTATTGAATGGGCAGCTGGAGAAAAGCCGTGCGATTTAGAGTACACCGATGACATCGTATGCCTGTTCGAAACTATGGAGGTTGCGCAATGCGCTCTTGACAGACTAGCAAGTTCTGTATCTCCTTTCGGCATGCGTTTTGCAACTTCAAAGTGCGAGGTGATGTTACAAGACTGGGTATCGTCTACCCCAGCGCTTATGCTTGATGGTCAGGAATTAGACGTAGTGGAATGTTTCACCTACTTAGCTACGTTTCAAATGACGGTATCATAGTCAATCAAGTAACCGCCCGCATTTCCTAAGTTCCAGCAGCTTACGCCGGATTGAAACACCTTTGGTGTAGACGCGATGTTTCTTTGAAACTAAAAGGTCGTGTATACTGCGCAAGTGTGCGGCCAGTTCTGCTCTACGGTTGCGAAACCCTAAATTTGCGCGTGGAAGATATTTGTCGTCTTGAAGTATTCGACTGCAGATGTTTACGTAGTTTGGCGCGGGTTGGATAGAGCGAGCTTGTAAGCAATTCTGAGGTGAGGCGTCGCGTATTTGGTAATGATTCGATGGAGAACTCGTTGTTCCATCGAATTCAGACCAGTCGGATTCGTTGGTTAGGACACGTATTGCGCATGCCCAGCCATCGTCTGCCGCACCGCGCCTTATTCGTAGTTGCGGCTCCAGGCTGGAAAAAACCGCGTGGTGGTCAACAGATGACGTGGGAGCGAGGCATGAAGAAATGCACAGAGCGATTAGGTAGAATCGGTGTCTTCTGTCGTCCAGATTGGGGTCCGAAAGACTCTACAACTGGTTGGCTGGAGATATGGCGACCAACCGACAGCAGTGGCGTTCTTGTCATTCCTAACAAGGCAGAATGCTTGAAAAAAGGTATGCATGAACTCTTAGATTGTGTGCTCTGTGTGTTGAACATAGAGGTTCTTTTTCTTTGCCTCCCTCCAAGTAGGCCCAATCCCTCTCCATCTTATGCTTTATCACTTGATTTGTGTGCATTGTGAGCTTGGCCGCGATCAGTGAAGCTCGCTTCACTGTTTCTCGCTGTACGATGATGAAGATGATGATGTTGAGGTCGTAGTATGGTATGACCACGGGACGACGCGTGCTCTAGGCTGATTGCACGTCTGATGTAGGACCACTGGGTTGATGCCGTCTGATGGATGTTTACTTAAACTGTAATAATCTTCATATTGCTATCGTTGCCATCTCGAGTCAAGAGAGTTTAATCACATCAGCCGTGAAGTGATTTTTCTGTACGATAGTAACTGGTTCCGTCTGCGGGTGATAAGTTCGCAAAATTCACCACCAGTTTCACATCAGTAATTTTGCATTCTCCTCACCGATAGCTCATATCCTTTGGATAGAGAACATGGCTTTCTATAGGGGCCTACCTCTCTAATCTCAGCCTACTACTGAATCTCTAAGTTCGTTCACGACCACATTGTCATTAGCCTTTACTGATCAGCCTGTGTCCACGACTGTAGATCCTATCCAGGGCTTGGTGCATAAAGATCCCGAGGGTAGACCGCAGCCACCCCCTTATCACAGACAACTGCGATTCTCACCGTGTCGTGTTCGTTTTGGGCAATAAGGCTAACGGGACGCCTATCTCGTGGAATCCGAGATCCTCTCGGGTCACCGTAGCTCGTTTTCATCTATGAATGCGTCGGTCGCCACAATCCACGTGATGACACTGGAGACGGTAAAAGACGAATTCCTCGATAGCCTACAAGAGGTAATGGATGGTGGCGGCACTTCCAGGGTGTTGGGTTTCAGGCTGATCACCTGGTTTCTGTTTAAAAGCCGTATAAGCCCCATGACAGTGTGACAAAGGTCGATGTGATTGGCCTTTTAAAACTTTAGTCATTGACCCCCTCACTTCCGAGGCGAGGTATTACTTTCTGCTACCTTGCAGTTCGCACCTGGTTGTGCAAAAGCTAGAGGTGTACCCTTAAAATAAAAAAGAGCCAAGTGACGCTGGGGACGGCTCTCGTACCACACTCTCAAGAAACTTCATGATCTTGATCGCGATCATATCCGAAGCCGGCTTGTCGTTTCCATGGAGCCAGCTGCAGTAAAGCAAAGTAAGTAATGAATAGTGTCCCCTAAACGCGACTTCAATTCATGCAACCGCCCCCAAACAACATCCTCGGTTTTGGTTAGTATCAGACCAATTTCGTACGCCTCGCTAGCTTTTTAGACTATACTGGCTAATCACATCCAACACCCAAGGCGGTCTATTGAACCTCGGGGCTCGGTCAGAAAAGACACATCTACTGTCTCGAAATCACGGCTAACTGTGATTACTTCTCAAAACTCATTCACGCTACTTCTTACACGCATTATTGATCAGAAGCACTCCTAAGCTGTCAAGGTACTCATTCTCAATAAACGGAAAAGATGCAGCTATGGATTGAGCATTTCGGTCGTCATCCAGTTAAGTTCGAACAACCATCAACTATGCACTTTCGTGCGCCGGTTTTGGTTGCCGTCTTTTGGCTGCCAATTTGGATGAACGGTAGGAGAAGGACAATAAGTAGAGTCGAATAAAAATTGGTGAAGCTCAGTGGACTAATGTTGCAAAGAAGATGCAAGAACGCCACTGTTTACAACACTGAGCCATATCACTCTGTGTCTCTAACCAGCGGTTGCGATCATCCCGAGGTCCCCAGCCAAGGAGCCTAACGGGACCTATGTGAGCCAGTCTCCTGGTTAGTGTTTTCATACCCTCGTGCCAGGTCTTAGCTTGATCATCCTTGGCTTTTTTCCACCAGTACCTGCCTCGGCAAACATCGCTCGCTGTGGCAACCTATCTGGTGACATGCGTAACACACGCCAAGCGACGTAATCTTTGGTGGTTGAACACGTGCTTCAGTGTGCCACCGCGCTTGCCTAAAACTTTGCGCCTGACCTCAGCATTGCTCGTCCGGCTGCCCCACCAGATTCTTGCAATGCTGCGTAGACAGCGATGTTCAAACGCCGACAGTCTATCTCTATCCTATTTCCCTAACGGCCAAGTTATTGCACCGTATAGCAGAATTGGCCGAACTGCTGCAGTTCAGTTCAGTTTTTACAACCCTTAACCATGCACTTTCTTGCGCCGGTTTTGGTTGCTTTTTTCGGTGCCCCATTTCTATGAAAGAGCAGAATGAAGATTGAAATGTTAATAGCAGATTCAAGCGGAAGATGGTCAAACTGCCGCGGCCTGTACTCAACCCTTCACAGACAACCGGATGTGACGGCGTCACAGATGTCTCTATTGGCAAATGTCAACCAAGCCTCATGTATGCGAGCTGACACTTCATCCGTGATGCGTACACCGGATGAGATTTAGCTGCCCAAATAGCAAAACGTATCCACCTACTTTATTACTTCCCCAGTTAGAGTGAGGTTGGGCATTGGACCAAACCAATCTCGTAGCAACTTTTTACACTTTGAAGGTGCGAAACGCATACCGAATATCGCTACAATAGCACTCAGATTATCCCGAAAAGCTTGCAACTTACTTGGATCTTCGCTCAGCGGCACAATGTCGTTTGTTTACTCTGGATCAGACAGTCTGCCACCTGGGAGCAAGTCGATGCCACTGTCCTCGCCTGAAAATGGGTCTGTCTTCATGCTGAAAGCCGCTTTCAGATTGAAATGGACAGTGATGCATCGGTCACCTGGGTTCGCACATATCTTTGCTATTCTGCATGTACTGGGGCTGACGTTTTCGACTATGATGTAAGAGCCCGCCCACTCACGCTTGAACTTCGTTGGCACACCGGCGACCGGTGTTGGGGAGTTGAGCCGAACCTGTTCCCCCGGCTGTATTGGAGTGCCATGCGCTTTCTTGTCGTAGTACTCCTGTCGCAGTTGAGCGGTACCCAGATGTACTTGCGCAAGGTGATGGGCTGTGACTAGGATCTCTCGTAGCCGGGAAACATACTCGGATGAAGTCAACATGGCCTCAACTGGTCTCGGTGTCGTAAGGTCAATTGGCAGACGTTTTTCCCAATTTGTCGGGGACTGACCAGTGAAAGTTTGTACCGAGGTTCGGTAGGCTAACAGGCACCATGGCAGGGCTGAGTTCCATTGTATGGTGCTCTTGAGGTTAACGAATGCTTTCAGTAGTCCTTTTATCGTTTGATTTGTCCGTTCCACCAGTCCATTGCCTTGTGGGTGGTACGGAGTGGTCCGTGTTTTCTTACTTCCGAGCAGTTGACACAGGTCCGACATCAGCACCAGTTGGAACCTCTTCCCTCTCCCACGCAGCCCAGGAGTTTCGTCAACTCCGAAACCAAGGCTGAACCTCCGTGCTTAAAAACCGATGGGGACAGCCCATCCAGGCCGGAGGCCTTATACTTTTTGAGATAGCTTATTTCCCGAGAAATCTCCATTTCAGATATAAGACTAATGTCAACGAGAAGCATTGGCTCGGTCGTGGTGGGAAGCGATGGATCAGATGTCGACTAGCCTCGAAATGTTCAGCCCATCGATCAAGACAGTGTTGCTGATGCTGAATCAATGTGCCATCGGATTCTTTAATTGCCTCACGCCCATTTTCCTGGGTCCCGTATTGCCAATTAGACATAAAGGGTTGCGACTATTGCCAATAGCCACAGCTTTCTCCATCTCTACACTTTTCTACCACCACTTCTCGCGGGCATTCCTCAGACTCTTGATGAGCTGGCGTTTGAGGCATATCCCAACGTTCGTTTAACTGTTTGTCTTCCGTGCTCAACCCTCTCCCTTTACACCTTCCGACCCGTAACATTCCCTCAGACAACTAGGTCGTTACTCGCCAAAGGTCGTTGCCAAATAGCACTGTAACTAGTTTTCCTATAAATAACGTGCAGATTCTGAAGCCTCGTCAACCGCTCGATCCGAAGATTTTCAGCCTGAGAACCCTTATGCGGGTGGGTCAACAGGTGTCTTGTGCGTACAACGGAGTCTCTAGAAATCGGTGTCTGTTGCGTATCAGAGACACGAATTCAGGATCCTAGTAATATAGGCCACCTGAGTGCGCCGGGTCTGTCCTCGAGGTATTTCCTTCGCACATCAGGAGACGACGAAGCCTGCTCATTGGGTCAGCGTGGTGTAGGAATCGTACAAAACGATAAAACTGAAGGCTCTATGATAGATTGTCTACCCGTCAATGGTCATTTGTGTGCAATGAGGCTACGGGTTCAGTTATTGTTCGGTAGAATAGCAACACCAAAAGGTGTTTGTTCATAATTTCCGCGTATGCACCAACCAACTGCAGTCCCGCTTCTCAAAAGAACGAATTTTACGACAAACTCACCGAACTGATTCGGTTGAGCCGCAACTATATAATAGTGCTGGCGCAGGTTGGAAAACAGAGCGCATTCGAAGCCTGTCTAGGAGGGCACTTCACCCTCCCCACCCATCGAACGGACAACGGTAATCGACTACTTCAGTTATGCGCGAATCGCCGGCTGTTCTTATCTGGCACCAACTTTCGACACAGCTCTCGTCGAACGGCTACATGGTGTTCTAGTTCAACGGGAAAATCGACCCATATTGACTATGTAGCTTTAAGCTGCCCTTGACCTGATTCAGTAGAAAATTGTAACTCCTACTGAACCACCTGCGTTAACTCGGATCATGCTCTAGTTTTGATAGGCTCCGCACTTCGGCTCATCGACCATCGGCGAAAACCACCCCCTCCGTTAGCTCATCATCGTCTCCGCTCGTTATGAATGGAAGCTTTGACAGGTGCTGGGAGCTCCGCTACATGATGGATTAGACCAACATTGGGATCAAATCAGATTTGCGATGCACTCAGTATCGAACTTCGCTTGTAGGGCCGAGCCCGCATTTCGTCAAACACATTGGATCTCTCGGGAGTCAGTAATCTTGATGGAACTCTACCAGGATCAACATGGGAACCGTTGGCGCCTACAACGTCAACTCAAGAAAATCCTTGAGGAAGCTCGCGAAAACTGGTGGGTCAAAATGGCTAGTAAAATGGAGGTTGCCTCTGCATCAGCGAACAGTCAAAGACTGTTTCACCTGCTACACAGCACCGGAGGTCGTCGCATAATCTCGTCAACTCTCACTAGTTTGCTTCGCAGCATTTGGTCGATTGGATGTATCTCCTCATCTTGGAGTGCATCGTTGCTATTCCCAATATTCACGAAGGAATCACGCAACGACTACAAACAACAGCGAGATAAGTTTAGTTCAGATCCTCACAAAAGTGTTAACTTCTGAATACATCGCTTTTGTGTGACTAATGACGGTAGCACAACAAAAGAGATCGTCCGGGTTCGAGCAGCTTACGCTGGACTGAAACACCTTCGGTGCAGACGTGATGTTTCATTGAAACTGGAGGGTCTTGTATGCTGTTCCAGTGTTCGATCAGTTCTGCTTTACGGTGGCGAGACCCTAAATATGCGCCTGGAAGATATTCGACGTCTATAGGTCTTCGACTGTCGATGTTTGCTTAGTTTGACGCGGGTTGTTTGGAGTGTACGTGTATGCAATTTGCCTACTTGGTGGTAATTCGTCCCATTGAATTCGGAGTAGTCGACTTTGCTGGTTAGGACACGTATTGTGCATGCCCAGCTATCGTCTACCGCGCCGCACCTTTTTTGCAACTGCGGTTGGGAAAAATCGCGCGGAGGTCAACAGATGACGTGGAAACGTGGCCTGAGGAAATGCGTAGGGCAATTCGGTAGATTAGGTGTCTCCCGTCTTCCAGTTTGGGGCCCGAAAAATTATGCAACTGGTTAGTTGAAGACACTAAAGGATATGGTAGCGAACCGACAGCAATGTTTTTTTGTCATTTCTTATCCGGTCGGAATGCCTGAAACGGTGTGTATGCACACTTGGGTTGTGTATTTTGTGTGTTGACTATAGAAGTTCACCTTCATCCCCCTCCCTCAAAATAGGTCCCATTCCTGTTCACCTTAAATATTACTAACCTTCGCATTGTGAGCTTGGCAGTGATCAATGAAGTTCGCATCACTGTATTTTGCTGTACGGTGATGATTTGTTAAACAGCCTCTTCCGCGGTGAACTCGCCGTGGTTCGGGCCGGTGCGAGTAACTTTTAAGTCTGCAAGGCGGTTAAACAATATCACTGTCCAGTCTCTTGCATTAACTGCAGTGCTTATTTGTACTCTTAAATTAACCCCGGTCAAAGTATTTCACAATTAAATGGTTTTCATCTTTCGAAGATGCATTTGTATAACGTTTCATTGGAGGAAGTGCTTGAAATGGATATTCTCCTGAAGATTCTGATAACTACGATCGTCAAAGGTTTTCATGAACCGCATTTATCAAAACGTGATTTTGCTTGTTAGCGACTGTGATATAACATTATGGTTTCGCGTGAAATCGAACTATCTTCAGGAGATATGGTCAATATGCACGATCTTGAATATGACTAGTTGCAGTCTGTACTCAATATGTCTTAAGATTGACCTCTTGGGTTTCTGATAGCGTGCAGATGGTGATCGGACCGTCGAAAGCTGTCTGACCATAAACTGGTATAAATAAATAGGAATGTTACCCAATGAATTCGATGTTAGGCATCGTGTTAGGCTTCCCGGTGTTCTCTGGACAGATGAAGTTTTTAAGACAGTAATATGGTTGGATTTTGGAAACGTTGGCACTTTCACACATGTTTACTGTCTTTGTGCGAGTATTTTTTTAGTCTTTGGGTCACTGGTTGATCAGACGGGCAACAAAGGGCCGGGGTCCATGCCTAGCAACTATCAACACGGTCCCTTCCTACTCTGGCTTACTCGTTAGCTCCTGACCATTCACCTGGGAAGCCAATGAAGGTGAATCTCAAAGAACGAAAAACGGATTGTCACTTAGGATAGACCTATAAGAAACATATTTATCTGGATCTATGTAAACGGAATATGTCCAGAAAGTGAGTAAACACAAAAATCATCGTTTCATTCAATTCAGCCAATCGCGAGGTCCCCATATGAATGCTTAACACCATCTGCGTGACCATTTCCACTTGTTGCAGTTTTTATGGCCTCACGGAAGTGCCGGGTTAGTGGCTTTATAAACAAGACTGTTTCAGTTCTCCTCATGAGTAGACTGTTGATTTAAAAATCTGCTGTTCTGCTTCCGATACCCTTATGACAATGTGTTAATAAGCCTTATGCACTCCATATTTATCTCTGTTTTGAACATCAGAGTTATCTCTGTTATATGAAAATAATACGAATTACCTTCTTGCCATTTTAATCACTCACTTTATTGCTTTCTAAAACTTGAGTGAACTCGGTGCTTCATTCAGACTCAATTTGACCGGATCGAATATAATTTATTCCGGCAGTGAAGCTTCATATCCACACGTTTTATATTGTAGTTGTTCCACATTCCATGAAAATCCTCATGTAGTTTGAACATTAGCAATATACCGGATCATTTTCGGATTGATTTGGCGTGTACTGTCTAGGGAAGCTCAGTACTCATACATTCCGTTAACTGGTTTTCAGAAATAGAAATAAAAACAGGAATGGCGTAACTTTTCCAATCGATGCAGTATTGATTAGTAATAAACAGTGCACTTTTCGATCCAATGGCCTTTCGAATCTTTGCTTGCACCGTGCAGAAATAAATCATTTCGTCCACAACCGTTCAGGAATCCAATTGTCGTCGAAACGTCACCTTTGTCTTGGAGAAATACTGCCGAAAAATCATTTCGATTAGACCGCAGTTGATTATCCAGAAGGTTTAATGCACCTACTTGATTTTCCAAGCAGATTTTGGTTTGCCTTCTCCTATTACATATTTAGCACTCAAATATGCCCGTGTTCATTGTAGTTTGCCAGATTTTGATGCCCTATATTGTGAAGTTTCCAGTTTCAGTTTTTACAGTCATTAACCAATCACTTTCGTGCGCACGTTTTGGTTGCTGTCTCATGACTATCCGATTGGATGAGGCAGTGAAGGAACGATCGAAATCTTCAGTTC